TCTGATCTTTTGTTTTTCATATTGGCTATTTATGTATGTGTCTGGCTATTATTTCCTTCTCCTTGGCCATTTAGTATTGCCCTTGGCCATTAAGTATTGCCCTTGGCCATGTAATTATATCCCTGGCCATTAAATATTGTTCTTGGTCAATTATTGTAGCGTTTGGCCATTTAGTATAACCCTTGGGCATTTAGTATAACCCTTAGCCATTAAATGTTGTCCTTGGCCACTTAGTATAGCCCATGGCCATTCAGTATTGTTCTTGGCCAATTAGCATTACCATGGCCCTTAGAATAGAAAGACTATCTCCGAATTAATATCTGATGAATGGCAACGTGGAGGAGGAAGATGAATGGAAGAGGACCCAGGGGAAGCAGCCACGAAGGATCTAGGAAGGAGGAATATGGAATAACGATGGGAAGGACACAGTGCCGGTAAGGGTGGGGGAGAGAGACGAAGAGAGACTCCGATAACTGATAAAAGAAAGAAGAGGAATGATAATTACTGTGTTCTTATTAGATGCCATTAGTGATTTGTTATAAGGATTGTGTCGTGTTATGGTCGTACTATTACTACTACTACTACTACTACTACCTCTCTGTCTGTTATGGTTTGTTCTGCCGTGTTTGTTGTAGTATGTTAACGTGGGAATGTGTGTGTGTGTGTGTGTGTGTGTGTGTGTGTGTGTGTGTGTGTGTGTGGAAGGTAAAATAGGAAAAGGCAAGGGTTTCAATTGAATTCCAACTTGTGAAGAATAACAGGTATTTATCATAAGTGTTTACCTGTTCAGCAAAATGTGACCGTTTGTGATATCAAACTTCCCTTTCGTTGAAAATATAAATAACATCTTGGTAAATATTAGTGATAATACTGGTGACGTCATTGAGTTGTCTGATGACGTCACGTTTGTATAAGACTGGATTGTAAATATTGATCAGTACGACAAGGTAGGTAGAGGTCTAACATTCAATCACGTCTAACATCTTTTGTGGATTACCTTCCGATCACACTGGATGATAATTGTCTTTGCCGGTATGGTTCTGTTTAAAATTTACATTATTTCAGGAAAATATATTTGTCTCATTTTCCAAGGTGATTTACCGGAAGTACTGATAGATTTTTGTCGTAACTGAAATCCCAAGTCTTAAGTTCTAAATAGTCTTCCTGAGATATGCGGCCTTCCTGGTGCCAGTGATCAGACTCATTTCTTTCCTGTGTGGAGGCAGCCAGCCGACCTGTGGCCTTGGTGTTGTGTGTCCAGGCACCTCCACCCGCCACACACCTGTGTCTGGCCCACGCACCTCCACACTGTCCTCACGCCACCCACACTGTGTCAACGCCACCCTACACCGCTCACACCCTACCACACCTGTGTCCTGGCACACTGCACCTACCACACCTGTGTCCCCCACCCCCCCACTGTGTCCCTCCACGCCACCCCTACCACACCTGTGTCCTGTCACCCACACCCTACCACACCTCACCACCACCCTACCACACCTGTGTCCCTTTCCCTCACACACCTACACTGTGTCTTCCCTCCCACCACCTACCACACCTTGTCCTGGCACCTCACCCTACCACCTGTGTCCTGCGCCACCCTGTGTCTGCCACCCACCCCACACAACCTGTGTCGCCACCCCTACCACACCTGTGTCTGGCACCCCTCCGCCACCTACCACACCTGTGTCCTCCTGCCTCACACCACCTACCACCTGTGTCTGCCACCTCCACCGCCACCACCACCACCACCTGTGTCCTGGCCTCCACCGCCACCTCCCACCTGTGTCCAGCACCTCCACCCACCCCTACCACACACCTGTGTCCTCGCACCTCCACCGCCACCACCACACCTGTGCCTGGCACCTCCCACCCTACACACCTGTGTCCTCCACCCTCCCTCCGCCACCCTACCCCACCTGTGTCACCTCCACCGCCACCCTCCCCACACCTGTGTCCTGGCACCTCCACCGCCACCCTCCCCACACCTGTGCCTCGCACACCTCCACCACACCCCTACCACACCTGTGTCCCAGCACCCTCCACCGCCACCCTCCCACACCTGTGTCCTGGCACCTCCACCGCCACCCTCCCACACCTGTGTCCTGGCACCTCCACCGCCACCCTCCCACACCTGTGTCCTGGCACCTCCACCGCCACCTCCCACACCTGTGTCCTGGCACCCTCCACTGCCACCCTACCACACCTGTGTCCCGAACCTCCACCGCCACACCCTACCACACCTGTGTCCAGGCACCCTCCACCGCCACCCTACCACACCTGTGTCCTGGCACCCTCCACCGCCACCCTACCACACCTGTGTCCTGGCACCCTCCACCCCTCCACCTGTGTCCTGCACCCTCACCGCCACCCTACACACCTGTGTCCAGCACCCTCCACCGCCACCCTACCACACCTGTGTCCTGGCACCCTCCACCGCACCCTGCACCTCGCCACCCTCCACACCTGTGTCTGGCCCTCCACGCCACCCTACCACCTGTGTCCCACACCCTCCACCGCACCTGTGTCCTGGCACCTCCACCGCCACCCTCCCACACCTGTGTCCTGGCACCCCTCCACCCTACCACACCTGTGTCCTGTCACCCTCCAGCACCTCCACACCTGTGTCCTGGCACCTCCACTGCCACCCCTACCACACCTGTGTCCTGTCACCTCCACCTGCCACCCCACCACACCTGTGTCCTGGCACCCTTCCACTGCCACCCACACCTGTGTCCTGGCACCCTCCACCGCCACCCCTACCCACACCTGTGTCCTGTCACCCTACCACACCTGTGTCCTGGCACCCTCCACCGCCACCCCACCACACCCTGTGTCCTGGCACCCTACCACACCTGTGTGTCCTCTGCACACCCCTACCACACCTGTGTCCTGGCACCTTCCACCGCACTGCCACCCTACCACACCTGTGTCCTGGCACCTCCACTGCCACTCCCACCACACCTGTGTCCTGGCACCCTCCACTGCCACCCTACCACACCTGTGTCCTGTCACCCTCCACCGCCACACCCACCACACCTGTGTACCCAGCACCTCCACTGCCACCCTCCCACACCTGTGTCCTGCACACCCCACCCCTACCCACACCCTCCACCCACCCCTACCACACCTGTGTCCACCCACACCCCACTGGCCACCCTACCACACCTGTGTCCTGGCACCCTCCACCGCCACCCTACCACACCTGTGTCCTGGCACCCTCCACCGCCACCCTACCACACCTGTGTCCTGTCACCCTACCACACCTGTGTCCTGTCACCCTCTGACTCAAAGACAAACATCATAACACAGTATCATTACCCTCGTGGCCTTACAGTGAGTGTTGTCAATAATCACACTTTAAGGGAACTGTTTCCTAACTCTACATCCACCGTGTCAACTCTACACCTAAGGTCCTCTCTACCTTCTCTCTCACACAGAATTTTTAAGACCTCTGGGTACCTGTCTCACGTGTTCTGTTTACTCCAGAAAGCCTTTTTATTTACTCTCTCTTAAGCTTCTGTCGGTTCATGAACATAACCCACGTTGCACTGTCTCCTTCATCCTCCTTCCACCTACCATTCTCTCGGTAAAAATCTGGCGTCAGTAAGCCGGGCCTCTGTAAACCCTGGCCGCTCTTCCCGTAAACTTGGATTTGTAGTCAGTTCAACCGTGTTTATCGTGGGTGTTCACATTACCGGCGGCTATGCTTGCCAGTCCTACCCTCGGCCAGGTCTTGTTCACCCTTGCATACTGCGCCAGTTACTGTCTCCATAAGCATATAACCTCTTCCTCAAGGCTCTTTTCTTTTCTTTTCTTTTTGCTGAATTTCATCCATTATTTAGACACCCCCTCCACACGCACACACTCCTGCAGATACAGAAATTCCAACACCAACACGGCAACAGCGTTATTTTAGGGATTATGAACGGTAAGAAATTATGTCATGTTGTTACTCAGAGAGGAACAATATTTATTTCACTAAGATCAATATCACACACGAGCCAGCCAGCCACTCACCTGTCCAATACGCGGAATTTGCTTGTTTTCATTATCGTTCATGCCGCCACTAATGAAAAACTAGTCATGAACGCTTATAAAAAACATCACCACCACGAGCAATCTACAGTGCCTGGCGTTACACTTCACTCCACAATGACACCCTACTTTACGTTTACATGTCATCCGCTTCCTTTCATTATAGCCACAAGGTGTTCTCTCGTTCCCCATCCACTTGTGAGAGTTGTGTGGGAGCTTTCTTGAGGCTACGGTTGGCTTTTCACGTTGTGCTTCCGTTACAGAGTCCGGGGAAAGCAAGACGAGACTGTAGCGTGTGGGGCAGACATGTTAAAGAAGACATAAACAAAATATATATATAGCTGTGAGGGGTCCTGTGTCGGGTCCTGTGGGTCCTGTGTGGTGGGTCCTGTGTGGGGTCCTCGGGTCCCAGGTCCTGTGTCGGGTCCTGTGGGGTCCTGTGTCCCTATCGGGTCCTGTGGGTCCTGTGTCGGGGTCCCGGGTCCTGTATCGGGTCCTGTGTGGGGTCCGTGTCGGGTCCCAGTGTCGGGTCCCAGTCCCGTATGGGGTCGGTGTGGGTGTGGGTCCCTGTGGTCCCAGGTCCCTCCCTGTGTGGGGTCCCAGTCCGGGTCCCAGGGTCCCAGTGGGGTCCTGTGTGGGGTCCCTGTCGGGTCCCAGGTCGGGTCCTGTGGGGTCCCTGTGTCGGGTCCCGTGTGTCGGGTCCTGTGTGGGGTCCTGTGTGGGTCCCTGTGTCGGGTCCTGTGTGTGAAGTCGTCCCTGTGTCGGGTCCTGTGTCGGGTCCTGTGTCGGGTCCTGTATCGGGTCCCTGTGTGGGGTCCTGTGTCCGGGTCCTGCGTCCAGGTCCCTGTGGTCCTGTGTCCCTGTGTCGGGTCCCGTGTCGGGTCCCTGTGTCTGGTCCTGTGTGGTCCCCAGGTGGTCTGTGTGGGGTCCCTGTCGGGTCCCAGTCGGGTCCCTGTGTCGGGTCATGTCGGGTCCCTGTCGGGTCCCTGTGTCGGGTCCCCTGTGTCGGGTCCTGTGTCGGGTCCTGTGTCGGGTCCCTGTGGGTCCTGTGGTCCCAGGTCCGGGTCCAGGTCCCTGTGGTCCTGTGTGGGTCCTGTGTCGGGTCCCGGGTCCCGTGTGGGTCCCAGCTGTGTCGGGTCCCTGTGTGGGGTCCTGTATCCCGTGGGGTGTGTGTGGGGTCCCTGTGTCGGGTCCTGTGTGGTCCTGGTGGGTCCTGTGTGGGGGTCCTGTGTGGGGTCCTGTGTCGGGTCCCGTGTGTGTGGGGTCCTGTGGGGTCCCAGGTCAGGTCCTGTGTCGGGTCCCTGTGTGAAGTCCCAGTGTCCCGTGTCGGGTCCCTGTGTCGGGTCCCTGTGGGTCCCTGTCAGGTCCTGTGTGTATCGAGTCCCCTGTGTCCCGGGTCCCTGTGTCGGGTCCCTGTGTCGGGTCCCTGTGTCAAGTCCTGTGTCGGGTGTCGGGTCCTGTGTCGGGTCCTGTGTCGGGTCCTGTGTCGGGTCCTGTGTCGGGTCCTGTGTCGGGTCCTGTGTCGGGTCCCGTGTCGGGTCCTGTCGGGTCCGGGGTCCTGTGTCAGTGTGTCGGGTCCTAATCTGTCTAATCTTCATGAAATTCTCAAAATTTTTCTAGTGTGTAAAATTTTGTCTCTTCGTTTCAAAGGTCACAACTCTCCCTTCATCACCCCTCTCCACCTTGCACCCCATCTACCCCCTTCACCCCTCTTCACTCCTTTTCCCTTCAATTCTTCCCTTCACCTTCCCCTTCTTTCCTCCCCTTCACCTTCTCCCCTGCACCCTCTCTCCCCTGTCACCCTCTCCTTCACCTCCCCACGTAGGGTTCCTGGTCTGACACACCACAAAATGTTCCTGAAATTCTCTCCCCGTCAACACACTGGTCGAGTCTCCGATAATCCACACACAAAACATCGGGAATGTAATATTTGTGTTTGTCCAGGACCTGTTGGTTAGGTTAGGTTAGGTTAGTTAGGTTAGGTTAGGTTAGGTTAGGTTAGGTTAGGTTAGTCCTGGAGGAAGTCACCAGGATTACTAACTTTTCTTGCTGATGGTAGTGGTGATGACGGTGGTGGTGATGACGGTAGTGGTGATGTTGTTAGTGGTGATAGTGGTGATGGTATTGGTGATGCTGACGATAGTGGTTGCTAGTGCTATTTAGTTCTTGCTGGTGGTAGCGATGCTTGTGTACGTGCTTCCTAATAACCCATCTAGTTGTGATGGCGGAATTGCTCTTACTAGTTGATAATAGTGGTAAGAATGGCGGCGGTGGTGTGTGTGTGTGTGTGTGTGTGTGTGTGTGTGTGTGTGTGTATGAGAGAGAGAGAGAAAGGGCTGGGTGTCAGAGGGCTGCAGGGGTGTGAGGGCTACGGGGGTGTGAAGGCTCGTTGGGTCATTCCTTCACGCTTATGAAACTCCCGGAATGTGGGATTGATTCCGCGGGTTCCTGCATTGTGACCCCTCCCTCCCTCCCTCCCTCCATCCCTCCCTCCATTCATTCACTCATTCATTCATTTTTCTCCTCTCATCCCTCCGCTTCCTCCTTTTTATTCTTCTTCTTTCTTTTCTCTTTCGCCTCACTGCGTTTTATAAACCTTTCTTTCACTCTGTCTTCTTTCTATTGATTCTTCAAAATTTTTATTTCGTTTTTATCCATCGCTTCTATTCTACACTTCCCTTTATTGCCTCTTTCCTTCTTCTCTATTGTTTCTTGTCCTTGAATTATTTACCCTCCCTTTGTCTCCTCTATTTCTATTCGTCTTTAGTAACTACCACACGACCCCGCTCTCTCTCTCTCTCTTCCCTTCCACATGCTGTACCCGTTCCTTCCTCTCCTCTCCTCTCCTTCCTCTTTCCCGTTCTTAATTCTCTCTTCTATCTCTTCCTTTTCACTTCCTCTTTTTACCTTTCATCTTCTCCCTCCTCTTCTTTCACTTAGCATCTGGTCGTCTTCTGTGGTCGTCACCTGTGTAGTCGTCTTCACTATGGTCGTCACCTGTATGGTCGTCTTCTGTAGTCGTCCTGTGTGGTCGTCTTCTGTGGTCGTCACCTGTGTGGTCGTCACGAGAGGCAGTAACGGTCCCTGGGAGTCAATAACTGAGAATTATTTATGACTGACCGCGATCACGGCCTCCCTTACCTGTGTGACGTCATGCCAGGTGGAGGTGGTGTTGTCTGCCCAGGTAATGTTGTCTGCCCAAGTGGTGTTGTCTGCCCAGGTAATGTTGTCTGCCCAGGTGGTGATGCCACATGTCTAGACGCCATTAATGACACTATCTGATTTGTTAAGGTGGGATTAGTGGCGCCTACCTGACGTACTCAACGGACACTACCTGACGTACTCAACGGACACTACCTGACGTACTCAACGGACACTACCTGACGTACTCAACTGACACTACCTGACGTACTCAACTGGCACTACCTGACGTACTCAACTGACACTACCTGACGTACTCAACTGACACTACCTGACGTACTCAACTGACACTACCTGACGTACTCAACTATGCCAGCACATTATAGAGTACAATGTCCTCAGTCAGTCTCTCTTACTCAGTCAAATACACGAGACATTCCTCAGTTGACATATCTCAAAGTTTTCCTCAGGTAATCATTTTTTCCTCACCTCTACCACCTCCATCTCGCTGCTTCCTTCTTAGTGGTAGCTCCCTTATCTTCCCTCCTTCCCTTAGTTCTTCTCCGCCCAAACATTCCCTCCTTCTCTCTTGTCTCTCTCCCTCCTCCCTCCCTCCTCCCTCTCTCTTCACTAACGTCATTCCATCTATTTTCCTCCCTTTACCTCACACATGTCTTCCTAAATTCTCCCTCTATCTGTTTCCCGTTTTCTTTTCGCCTCTCCTCCCTCCTTCTATCCACCAGAAGGGCGGCGTCTCTCAGGATAGGACGGGAAAGAGGGTAAAGGGAGGAAGGAAGGAAGGAAGGAAGGAGATATCCCTCAGCCTCCCCTCAGCTAGTGTGAGAAAAATGCACTATTGATCCATATAGATTCAGCTCCTTAGTAAACACACACACACACACACAACAATATCATCAGATCAACACAACACCTACTTGAACAAACATTGTTCTCTCTCTCACCTCTTCCTCTTCCTCCTCCTCTCTCCCGCAGGAATAAAACTCGTGTAGTTTTTAAGAGTGTGCAAATGCCGGGGTTGGCGTCTGGCACTCATAAATCATCGGAGTGGGAGAGTTTGGTTGATACATGGTGGCTCATACACGGTGGTAACACTGTTGTCTGGTTCATATACGTTGGCAATACTGGATGGTGGATAATACATTGGATTTGAGCGCTGCCAACATTGGTGGGTGGCTCATTTGAACTTTGGTAACACTGGTGGGTGGCTCTTGAACGTTGGTAACACTGGTGGGTGGCTCTTGATCGTTGGTAACACTGGTGGGTGGCTCTTGAACGTTTGTAACACTGGTGGGGTGGGTCTTGAACGTTTGTAACACTGGTGGGTGGCTCTTGAACGTTTGTAACACTGGTGGGTGGGTCTTGAACGTTGGTAACACTGGTAGGAGGCTCTTGAACGTTGGTAACACTGGTGGGTGGTTCCTGAACCGCAATAATAAGACTCCTTAAATTGCCTCAAAAATAGAATAAACATGATTGCCCAGGTAATGTTGTCAGCCCAGGTAATGTTGTCAGCCCAGGTAATGTTGTCAGTCCAGGTAATGTTGTCAGCCCAGGTAATGTTTCTGTCCAGCATTTGTAAAATATTTGCAATTTTCATCCAATTTTAACCATTTTGTGATCTACACTACTGATAGAATTCACGTACTCTCTCTATATATCCTTATAATTACAGCAACTACGATAATATTACAGCAAAACAACAAAAATATTACAGCAAAAATGATAATATTACAAAAACAACGATAATATTACAACAACAACAACGATAATATTACAACAACAACAACGATAATATTACAACAAAAACAACAGCAACGATAATTTTACAACAACAACTACGATAATATTGCAGCAAAACAACGAAAATACTGAATATATTAATTTATGTCTGTCTGTGTGTTTGTAAGGATCAGCTGTTGCGTAGTTGATAAAGCTGCCGCCAGACTCAAAGATTTTTCCCGCCATGATGGTATAAAGTTTAGATTACTTGATATTTTTTGATGCGATTTTTTTTTGTGGCCAGATTAATGGTGGTGAGGGACAGATTAATGGTGGTAATGGCCAGATTAATGGTGTTGGTAGTTAGATTATTGGTGGTGATGGCCAGATTAATGGTGGTGGTGGCCAGATTAATAATGGTGGTGGCCATTTAATAGTAGTGGTAATAGATTAATGGTGGTGGTACAGATTAATGGTGTTGGTGGTTAGATTAATGGTGTTGGTGGTTAGATTATTGGTAGATACAGATTATAGTGGTGGCCATTAATCAGTAGTGGTGGTTGTATGGGCCAGATTAAGGGTAGTGGTGATTAATGGTGGTGGTAGATTAATGGTGTGGTTAGATTAATGGTGGTGGTGGCCAGATTAATGGTGGTGAGGGACAGATTAATGGTGGTAGCGGCTAAAGTGATTGTAATGGTAAAAAGATATATAGAAAAGAGAGAGAGAGAGAGAGAGAGAGAGAGAGAGAGAGAGAGAGAGAGAGAGAGAGATTAAATAGCTTTATAAATTAGTTAAATCTTAATTGTCTTATCTACTGCATAATTAAGGCTGTTCATAACTATAGTAAACAAGAGCTATTTAACCACACACATTAATTCACTTTATAATTTCCGCTAGTGCTCCAGATTCTTCCTTAAATCAATTAATAACTTAACCTAACCTAAACCTAACCTAACCTAACCTAACCTAACCTAACCTAACCCAACCTAACCTAACCTAACCTAACATAACTCTCTTGAAACACAATTATTTCCTTTGATTTAAAAATTCCTTTAATAATTCAACCCCTCAGGTAACATACTAATTAGCTCCTTCGGGGTTTGTATTTGACCCTGTTGTGTGTAGTGAACCTGTTAAGTAGTTTATTACATGACCTCCAATGATGATAGTATAGTGAACTGTTGAATTACATTTTAGTTATATTATTATTATTATTATTATTATTATTATTATTATTATTATTATTATTATTATTATTATTATTATTATTATTATTATTATTATTATTATTATTATTATTATTCGGTGAAGAATAAAAATGTTATACTCCCTCACGTTATATTAATTTATTTCGGATTATTTGTTATTGAAAAAATCACAGTTTATTCTCTCTTATGTTGGGACGTTACTCTGTTCTACGGTAGAGTGTCAGTGTAGTTATAGGCACCAACTATGTCATGTCACGTCGGTAACTTAGTGGGAACATGGAGGAGGGAGTTATGATCTGGCCATCTTGACTTAGAAGGAAGGTTTAAGATACTGACTTGTGTGATGTTTGCTCTCTAAGTGGCCTCGCGAATCCAGGAAAGAAGTATCGGGAAAAAATACAGGAAAAATATCTCAGAAAAAATCACAGAACCTAACCTAACCTGTGACTTTTTTCCTATCCCAAATTGTGGCTGTTTTTCTGTGACTTCTTTTCCTCTGACTCTAT